AAAATGGTAATATTAGTAATAGATTAAATAAGATAATACACAACATAATAATTAAAAGCCTTACTATATTTTTATTATAGGACAATAAAAAAAAGCGTGGTGAAAAAGCAAAGAACCTGGTGGTGAATAAGAAATCTGGTGAAAGTAAAAGATTCAGTAGTGAAGAAAATAAGAAACATGGTGAAGAAGGTAGCCCTTTATGAACATACAATTTATTTAACTATATATAGCCTATTTATTGTCAAAATCAAAGTTCAAGGTTGGACAAATGTGTACGTTACATTAAACAAATATGGATAAACGTATTGGATTGCCATTTGGGTGTGATGTAGAGACATATATTTTATCATTACCAATTGTAAAAAGGATGCATTTCAAATATCAAAGCCGGCAAAAATTAAACCAAGCAATTCGTAGGGACCTTGTTGATCTTAAACATAAAGAAAGTACAATCGACTTCAAAGGCTGGACAACAATTACTGGCATGATGAAATCAACAAATCATTTGGATAATAGACTTAAACTAACAGAAGAGGGTCAAAACTATGTTACTCAAATTTGACAAGGACTGGTTTCAGATCTTTGCATTTGGCATTGGGTTTTTTATTGTGCAGGCAATGAGAATTGTTAAAGAGCATGTTGTGGATTTGAAAATTGTATACAAAATTGCTCAAATTATGAAATAAAAAACAATTTAAAAAATGGTAATGATATGCATAAATGTAAAGTTTGCATAATTACAAAGGTAATGCTTAGCATAATCACAGAAAAATTCTCTATTCAATTATACATAGAAGGTCAGCACATTCCTATGAATTATCCTGTTCAACATGAATCAGTCATTACACACTTAAATCTTAGTAGAAATATAAGAAATCAATTTATTTTAAGCAGACATGTGGATGGATGTGTGAATAGATATATGGCAAAGGAAATAAAACTCAAATTTTTAGCACCATTCAATGGTATGCCAAAAGAACAATTAGAACAACAAGAACAATATGGAACTAATATATGTAATGAAAAAATAATTCAGCAGTTATTAAAATGAAATAATCAATATATTCATGATGATTTAGGTCCTTGGACAATTTTACATAGATTAGTCATAGATGAATTAAAAAAAAGAGGCTCTGTTCTCTATTATCAACAAGAGGATCTTACCTTCTCTTCAAATTTATCAGAACCTATTATCAACTTACTGTAAGTGATAATATATGGCTCAAACAAGCACAAGACTATAGATCATTTTGTTTAATATAGATGCAAAGTATGATCTTAATAACAATTGAGTGCCTATTCATACTCTTGTAGTAGAAGATTGTGGTAACTGAGATACACCCATAGGATTCGCATTGTCTAACTAGTATTTCAAGCCATGAGGTTTTTATCAGCTGGCTTAGCCAGCTGGCAAAAAAATCGGCTAAGCGGCTGGCTAATAACTAAAGCCAAATTTTTTTATCTTCAGAAATTATTGGATATTAACTTAAATTTTTTTTTCATTCTTGCTCGTATTTTATGTTTGATCATTTTTTTTTGGAATCTATTACTTAATAAAAATATAGTAAGGCTTTTAATTATTATGTTGTGTATTATCTTATTTAATCTATTACTAATATTACCATTTT